GGCCGGAAGCGGCCACCGCACTCCAGTCTGGGTGACAGAGTGAGACTCCAACTCAAAAAATAAAAAAAATTAAAAAAAAATAAAGAGAAATCAGACAGAAAAGAAAGGAGTCACGTCACCTGAAGTCCCCAAGGGTGAGGAGTGTCCCAGGGGGTCTGGAAGTGATTGTCAGGTACACTGTAATATTTTTTATTTTGCATTGAGTTGAGAGTCACATAATATAAAATTCACCATTTTTAAGTGAACTATTTGGACTGGGCGCAGTTGCTCACACCTATAATCCCAGCACTTTAGAAGGCCAAGGTGGGAGGATTGCTTGAGTCCAGGAGGTCGAGGCTGTGGTGACCTGCCTTACACTCCAGCCTGGATAACAGAGTGAGACCACAACTCAAAAAAACAAAACAAAGGCTGGGCTCGGTTGCTCAGTCTATAATTCCAGCACTTTGGAAGGCTGAAGTGAGAGGATTGCCTGAGCCGGCGGGTTGGAGACCCACCTGGGCAACTTGGCGAGACCTCGTCTCTACAGTAAATCGAAACCTAGCCGGGCATGGTAGCGCACGCCTGGAGTTCCAGCTAGGTGGAAGGCTGAGGCAGAAGGATCGCCGGAGCCCAGCAGGTCGAGGCTGCGGTGGCCGGGAGCGGCCACTGCACTCCAGTCTGGGCGACAGAGTGAGACTCCAACTCAAAAAAAAAAAAGATTGAAAATCACTGATATCAAGCCAAATTCCTTGGACATGTGTGCAGTGTCTTTACAGATGCTTTAATTTGTATTTTGATGCAAATACCAATTAGCATTAGGTAATGAATTACTATTCTCAATGGGTATGAAAGTCTTCTAAAAATTATACTACTTCTGCCTTATTTCATGCCATGTATCCAAGAAAGCCTAATCCAGAGGTCAGCAGATACAGAACTTAAAAACAAAAGCCAAAAATCTCTGACTGAGCTCCCACTAAGTGCCAGGAGACATGCCAGGGGCTTCCATGTTCCATGTGTGGTATCTCATTTAATCCTCTTAAATTGGTAAGTCACATGCTGCTCTGAAATTCTTGGCAATATGAACATCTAGTATTACTCTGCACAAAAGAGAAAATGCCCCAAAAACGTTTTTGTGGCTGAGTGAGCAGAGTCGAAGCCCAAGGCCATTGGTGAGGAGGGGTAATGTGAGCACTCTCCCCCTCATGGCTTCTCATTGCTTCTCATCTAGCACTTTCCGTCTGGCTGTTCCAGGCAGAAACCACTCCAAACTGGGAAATGGAATCAGGGCTGTTATCTGAAGAATCTTTCTGACTATCTAAGTTCCAAAAGTCTAGCTGTCATAGACTCTGCTGGTTCTCCCAATCTGTTGCCTCTTCTTCTCTGGACACAAGACCCCTGATTTTTAGGTGGGCACACTAAAAACGACAGCTCCCAGACACTGCAGCAGCTAGGTTCTGAACAGGGGATGTCAGCAGAAGCATCCAATACAACTGCCAGGAAGGGCCTCGGAGAGTGGGGCATATTCTCTCTCCTCCCTTCCTTCTTCCAGCTGGCTGAAGAGCAGACACGCTGCTTGTGGTCTGAGCAGCCATCCTGGATCCTGAAGGGAAGCTGTTGAGGATGGCTGACCAGGGCACGGAAGCAGCCTGCATCCTGGAAAAGCAAAACGTCATGCCTGTCCTCGGTAGCCTACAGGCTTCCCTCGCACGAGAGATAAAGGAAGCTTCTCCCAAGTCATTTTTCTCTTCAAGTATCTGTCACAGGTAGCCAGATTCAATACTAGCCCATGCAGTAGCTGAGAAGAGAAACCCGAACTTCAGATGACTGCGGCGGTGGCAGGGCGCCATGGTTAGGGGACTGGCCTCTGAAGCCCTCAGCCTGCTCACCTCTGCCTCTACCACTGACTAGCTGTGAGACCTTGGGAAAAGTAGTTCTGCTGTGTGCCTCAGTGGCATCACCCACTCTGAGGGTAGTTATGAGGATTAAGTGAGTTGTTTGTAAACCACTTCAAACAGCTGGCACATGCCTGTAGTTCCAGCTACTTAGAAGGCTGAGGCAGAAGGATTGCCTGAGCCCAGCAGGTCCAGGCTGCAGCGGCCCTGAGTGTGCCACTGCACTCCAGCCTGAGCGACAGAGTGAGGCTCTGACTCAAATAAATAAGGAAATAAAACAGCATCTGGCATATAGTAAGTGCTATGTAAGCATTTGTTAAAATGAATACATTTGGAGCAGAGCCATAAATGACAAGTCCAACTACCGTGAATCTGTGGGCCAGTCTAGCCCACCACATTTAGAACAGTCTGGCCCTTTTGTTCTAAACCACATTTCCCCTCTGGAAGCAGTATGGGCACATTAAGAAGTTTTCAAGAGCATCTGTGCTTGATTTCCTCTCTAAGAAAGGATAGTGGCCAGGAAACTTTCGAGACTGGAATCCTAAAATCACCAAGAAACATAAATGTGGTCTGCCATTCTCTGTGGCCTATGTACTGAGATGGTAGTACTTCATCTGCCAGGTAGAACTGAGCGATCACATTCCTCCCACCTGTCAAAGCACCAGATCCCGTCTCAGCTGACCTAACACACTTCCAACAGAGCTGTAACAGTGTCATGAAAGAAAAACAAAAATCTTCCTACTTCTCCGGCACATCTTGCATCAGAGATAAGCTGAGGCCCTTCTTACATTAGCCAACAAGCTAAAAAAAAAACCCCAAACCAAAAATGACTCATATCCTAGATCTCATTCTGTTCCCCAAAGGAAAAAAAAAAAAAAGCATCTTGCTAATATCTAAATATTTAGACCTCGGAGTACGTACACGTCTTTGCTTCTAGGAATGACAGTCCCCATTTGAGCTTCCAAGCTCCCTTATTTACGAGAGCTGGAAAGACATGACTCTCAAAGCTTTCCCCACCTCCGCTGATGTAAACCGAGTTGGTGGCAGAATCGCTCTCTGGTTCTTGATTAATTCAGGGACAACTAGAACTCCGGGTGAACAACCGGATCATTCAATGAACCTAACCACAGCTACAAGTGACGGCCCATCCTGGCCACTCAGGACTCCTATCAAGACAGCACACTGCCCAGCTGAAGCGTTCACACAGGTGAGATGCAGGGGGGAAATCAGAGGAAACTTTGACACCCACCCTCTCAGTAAGTACAACAACAATGCACTTTTACATTCGGGCACATCTGAACACGTAGACAGGGAAGATCAGCAGCTTCTTAGCCCACTGTGCTCCCAACGAGCTCTCTGGTTTGATCTGAGCCCAATGCCTTCAGTTCTTCTGCGGTTCCCAAAAGGAGAAAGCGCGCTTTCTCGGCTGCCCTGCTCACCGCACGCCCCATCCCGTAACCACCCCCCGTCTACGCAGGCAGGGGGCCAATAAAGGTCAGCGATCGCCCGGCCTTCGCTGAAAAGCAGACTGCTGAGAACGGGGGGCGAGAGGACAGCAAACGGCAGCTGACAGCCCGTGTTTCGCAGACTCCACGTTCCACACTGAGCAGCCCTCAGAAAAGGACTTGAACCCGTTCCCAGAAGTGAGCCCAGCCCGGGCGGAGGAAACCGGGCTCCACCCTCTCCACCGCCCGCGGCGCTCCGCCAGGGG